GTATACTTGTCTTTTCAACACACACGCACAGACTCTTTCTGCTGCACTTAAAACTAGCTTCAGTGCTGTAAAATCAGTTGCCTCCTGAATTACACCATGCCTCTTCTTGTCACGCTGACATTTAAGCTTCCGTGGCTTGTTGAGGGGAAAAAAAGAGAAAATTATGCTGAACAACCAAAATAAGTTCTTCACCATGGAGCTTAAATTAATACTGTGTGACAAATGGACAGGTTTATTGCTGCGGCACATCACAGTTTAACCACTGCACCATGATCAACATTTCAGTTCAGCTCACTTGGACAGAGAGAGAAGCTTTACTGCTGTGTACCTGGATGCTGTCTGACATCATTATAACACAAACAATACAAGATAAATATGCATCTATTTGTAATTAATTTTCACACCTGTTTTGTCATTTGTGCTGTGAATAAAAGAGAGCACCTGACTGGTTTTAAATAATGAGATGAAGACATTTCTGTATACTTATGTGCCTGGGTGTGTCTTAGGGCTGTTTCAGATGCTACGCAAGCTACGAAACCTCAGCTGTAAACACAAGTCACAAGTATTTTTATAGACATCAGCAGTGGCTGTCTGCGTCATTTTGTAGATTAACCTGATTTTCTGTCATTCATGTGTCTGACGTCCTCTTCGTCTCATCTGCTCTCTGCTGCTTGATGCAGCATCTGTCAGAAATAGACTTCAAGCATATTTTTAGCGAGCCATTTCAGGGACGCTTCTAAATCATGGTGCGACATGATCAGCTCTGGCTGCCACAACACCACCGTTCCCCGCCATGGACAGTCCCAGTAGAAAATAGAGGTAACTGACCCATGGTCTTAATCAGGTAACATGATTTATCTAGTAGAAACTGCTGCCAAAGAGGAGTGCACCATTTTGCCATTTTGCTTTTGCTAAACCAACACCGGCTAGAAAACGGTAATCACTGAAATATTGTTTTTCTTGAATAACTGTCAAACTAGTAACGATATCAATGTAATTCCAAATGCTAGGGGTAGGTTTTCATGGACATGTAGTCATATGATGTGGATAAACTGTCAGGTATAATTATGGGGCCAGTGAGCTACCTTGGTGTTGGTTTGCACTTTCAGTTTTAGATTGGTGTTGTTTCCTAGAATGCACTGAAGTGGTGTTTAATGAGTATGAGCCTTACGTAACAAATACTGAAATCAACATTGAATGATTGAGAAATGAGGCGCATTTGTCTTGTAACCACACGGTGTGTTTATCTGACGTTATACCTGTCCTACTTTAGATCAGAACTAAAAGTCATTTGGTTTGGGACCAGCCAGGGGCATTCTCCTTCCCCTTTCAATCGATAGCAACACATTACACCATTCTTTACCTCCAGATGAGAACACTACATTGTTGTTTATAAAGCAGAGCATGAGAGCAATTAGCATGCTTCAGAGGTGGAAATTAAGTTTGAAAGTTAAAAAGAAAAATACCAGAAGAAAATACTCCAAAGAAAAAGCAGGCTAGTAGCAGTAATCACAGTGCCTAACAAACCCCTCTCATTAAGGATGATACATTTATTAATTAAAGCAGGGGTGATTATTTACCTGACTGGTTTTCTCTGGGAGGTGCAGAGGGAGAAGTAATGGTTATGGAGGTGAGCCGATGGCAAACTAATTTACTTTCTTTTTTATTGGTTTGTTTGTTTCTCCTTAGGACTTTAAAAAAATTGTGTATAGGATTTCCTAGATGACATTGAAAAGTAAAAGCAATGGAAACATAAATGTAGACAGAGAGATAGTGAGGAAGGAAGGGAGAATTCTCCATGCAGTGTTGTCACAGTATATTCTGTGTGCGTGTGTTTTCCCCCACGGTTCCATTAACATCTCATTGATTCATGGTTATGGGGTAGCTGTCTCCGATAGCAAAATTATGTTTGCCTAAAAACAATTATCAGGCAACAAAAGCCACATCACAACTTTGTTTCCAAGTGAGTGCATTGTGTGCTTGTGGGTGGGTGTTTGTATTTTGGAAGACAACAACAGACTCTCTCCCTAAGGAGAGAACTGAATCAACAGGGTGCTGTTGTCGTTGTCACATACACACACATTCACGCACAGTTCTAGTGGGTATGGAAGCCACTTGTTTTGGTGGGCGGTGTGACACAGCCTCTATTATAGGATTTAATTATAATGAAGAGGTTTCATGTAGTTTTGTCCTGTACTGTGGGCGTAAAGAGGTGGCATTATGGCCCCTTTTGACCAATTTTTATAAATATTGAGTGTAATTTAAACACATCTATGACAGTGTATTCGCCCAAGGTTGTTTAGATTTAGTCCTCCTTTACAAACAGCCCAGATTTCCGTCTGTCCTCTAGCAGGCTGTTTTAGTATTCATTAACATAAAATGTACATTATAAACAATTACTTACTCTGATTGGCCGGAGGTGTTGACTCATCTTCACTCCCAGCCAGTGAAAGTAGGATCTAATGAATAATGCTGGTAACTCATATGTTGGTCTTTACTTTGTGTAATACCTGCAGCTTGAAAGGCAAGATAGTACATAGAGATATATGAACTAGAGTCTGATCCTGAATGGGAAGGAGAGGAACCTTTTGTTGCTGACTTGAGTAGGATGTTTCAGAACAGTAGGATCATGTTTAAGATTCCTGACAGAGTAAAAGTCTTTTTTTTTTTATCCTAACAGGATGCAGCCAACTTAGCTATAGCACAGCTACTTTCATTAACTCCCATAAGCTCTCAGTGTAGTGCTGTGCAGGGGTGGGCTTATCCTCACAGTGTTTCCGCTGGTAACATTTCTCAGTGGCGTGCTGCCACGGCAAAAATCCAGCCAATCAATCATTTAATCAAGCACCTCAGTGACTCGCCTGGGAAGCCCATAAAACGAAATGGCGAGTCACATACACAGGTGCTGTTAGGGCCCATTCAGATGGAGTGTGTTTTCAGACTTGGTTTTCATTCAACAGACAGAACTCCATGCTATAAAACGTCTCCCAGGCACACACGTGTGAGCCTCACATCGCCTGTTTTTTGTTTCAGGTCTATTTTCTCCATATACTTTTTTGTGCAGCTAATCATGTGCGGGCAACATTAGAAAGCAGATGTTAGCATTCAGCAAGCAGTAGGTTCAGCTGTCACTGACAGTGAAGACCAAAAATGGCAAAATGTGTTTGGAAATGCAGCAACACTGGCAAAATTGCTCATCTCTGCCTGCATGGTTATAAGAGGATATTGTATCATATCCTGTAGATCAAGACTGAATTCCCTTTACTGTCAGAACTGTGTCCTGTATGGAGACTGTCTTTTGTCAGCTTCTATTGTAGTGTTTTCATTTGGCAGTGTGTATGTTTCTGGAACCTCTCTTTGACTTTTGGTTCAAGGTTTTATTCATCTGAACTAGATCCAGTAGTCTCTATAAATATGTTACTGTTACCATCCAGAGACAAGCACACCATTGTGTGATTCACAGTACAATTTGGGAAAATCCCAGTATGCTGTTCCCACTATCTTACTTTTTTTTGCCCAGTTTAAACTTGCTACTGTGAAATTTCCTTTTTTTCTTAGTTTAATCCATTTGTCTAACACATTT